TGTGTTGATTGCGGCAAAGAGTTTGGGTATATATGTTATGACACAACCGGTGGTCATGTCTTCGCGATTATCACTAAATCTATGGTTTGATTTGTATTGATATCTCAGACGCGACTATAGCTCTCACACACAGTGTGTGTCCGAAGACCAGAAATACGGTGGACTCGACTATCAGCCGAAGGCCAACACAAACAAAGGTCAGCAAAAGCAAGAGGAATGGATTGAGGTTTGTCTTCATATCTCGATTGTTATCTTCAAACTATTTTTTCATTGCTTTTGGTATTAATTGTTTTGACAGAAAATAAAGATAGCGATCGCGGAGTCGACGGCCAACACTCACATCAAGGGTTTAATGCAAAGACTCGTTACCTATACTAACATTCCTCGGAAGGAAAAGCCATTCTTTAATTTCATTAAAAACAGTCTTCGCGTAAACAATACTTATTATATCCAACAATTGTGGGACATCTTCAGGAAGGCTCTCGACTTGAAACAAACCAATCAAAACACTAATGGAAACCATAGCCAAAGAGATGACAATAAAAGAGGATTAGTGGAGACAGAAGTGACGGAATCGAGTTCTTCCAAGAAATTGAAAGCAAGTGATGACAATGAGGAGGAATCGTCTCAATTAACCGAAGATAACGTGACGAATGGTGTGAAAGATGAGACCGATTTGGAGTCAAACACCAAATTAAATATGAATAAAGTTATTGTGAAAATATTGAAGGAATCCGAGAGTAAAGAATTGTCTCTAAAGAAACTCCAGAAAAAGGTATTAAGAAATTGATAATTAGTGTTTGAATTGATCCAAATTCTTGTCTTAAAGGTTCTAAAGATGTATAAAACAAATGAAGATAATTATGATAAACAAAGAGTAATCAATAGGTTTGACAAAAAGCTTTCTTCAAACAAAAAAGTGTCAGTAAATGAAGGAATAGTTTCTCTAAATTAATCATTTATTTCATAGAGATTTCGACCATTTTATGTATTTTTATTACAATTTTATTTTTAATGAATAAAAGGCTATATCTTTGAAATTGATTAAATCTCTATAACTTTGATAACAAACAAAAACACATGACTACTAAACACTTCGGGCGGCGGGGGGTCTATGGATGGGTATCTCACAGATGGGTGTCGTGTCTGTAATGGAGACAATGTTAATGCCGGCCGTTTGGAGGCCTTTGATTGAGGACAGCCTTCCGGGTCCCAAACCATTGATGCAAACGCGGACAGTCCTGTAACCCATTTTAGTGATGCGCGCAGACATGCCCACAGCCGTCACCTGTGCGGCCACATTAGTGCCCTTCCGGCAGTTCTTGAAGCCCTCCATTCCGCAGCTCCGGGTCAGTATGAAGTGGCCGTCCGGTCGACACAACGCGAAGATCGTGTTGTTTTTGGTGCTCTTGATGTGCAGTATTGGCAGCTCTTTAAAGGGGATGTCGTCGAAGAGTGTGTTGGGAGTGTCCAGAGAGGGAAAGTCCACCACTTTATCGAAGCCCCCGAAGTGGAAGCGTTCGCCGGCAGAGCCCTCGTCAGTCTTCGGCAAACCCTTCATCATTGACCGCCGATCGCCCTCTTTCTGGAGTACACCACTCGAGTGGACACCACTTCTCAGTATTACTGCCAACGAATTGTTTGCAGCATTTAATACACATTTCTTCAATTGTCCGCAAAATGACATTATTTTGCACTTAATTTACATTCAAATTAATTTTCAAATCAAAACTTTATTTCTTATTATTTTTAATGTTTTTGGTTTAAGTGATGAGCCATTCATAGACACCATTACGCGATGGTGTGGGGGATGTGAAGGGGCCATACATTGCGATAATTGTGACTACAATTTGATGACATTCATAGATTTATGATACACTTGTATTTAATGGACATCTCATGATTGGGATTAAGATTATCTCACGATTAGGATTAAGTACAGATATTAGTAATAGTGAACGATAACATTAACAGGGACAATATTTTGTTTGCGTTCATAGCTTTCATTCAGTGTTTTGCCATAATTTTTATGCCATTTTATTGAAAGATTTATTGAAGTTTTTATCCAATATTTGATCAAATTTGTTGAATATTAAGTGCAATTCGTATAGCATTCATACAAAACACTAATAATTCCTAGTTTTTAGTTATTTTTATACTAATCGTTGTATTAATCGCTGACAACATATGAGCGCATCTTTCATCCCATTCCTCAACATATCTTCGGGAGCGTTGATAATGAGTGGAAGTGAGTCCTAATTGAGTGTCATTTATGTCTAAATTAATCATTATTTATATTATCGATACACCAATCGTTTGTATTGTATCTAAATTTAATGAAAATTGTTTGTCTAAAGTTTGTATTAATTTGATTCATAGGATACTAAATAGTTATAACGTTTTATGAGATGAGGTATAACCATGTCAATCATGGTCAATTTATGTATTGTACGTGTATTTGACTACTTTTTACTGCATTTATTGAATAGTTTTAATAATTTATTGCTCATAAAAAGAAATGGGATTTAAATCTCTTTATCTAATCTCTAATCTATGAATAGTCAGGGAAACGAAGTGACAGTTAATGATTGCATAGACTCTATGAATGTGACAAATGGGCGGACTTTGCGCTCAACTTAATCAATGAGAGCAGTGTTTTAAAGCCAAATACTAAACACAATACAACTCATCACACAATTTGGTCCCTTTTGTCACACA